TGATGCTTCCTGGATCATTCAATATTTTGCCCTTAGCATCTTTCTTTAAGTATTGCCAACTTGAAGCTTGAATTTGCTTTTGAACTTGCTTTTCAGTTCCTACATCTTGAAATATACCAAGCAAACTCTTCCTTTTTGATATTCTGACTCTTAACTCTCCACATTTCATTATAACACCTTGCTTTATCTTTCTGAACTGCTCACTGAAATCTTCTGTTCCATTTTTTCTAAGTGCCTGATTACTTCCTTTTTTTGGCTTGTTGGCACAACACTTAGAATCCGTAAATCTACCAACAGAATTGGAAAAATAAGGAACTAATAACTACCTACACAGACACAACAGAAATTGTACCACCCATACCAAGAACATCACATAAAATCAAGGAAACATCAGGCAAGATCAAATAATATGAAAAAAAAAAATGTCTTCTTCTAAAAAAAAAAAACACAAAAAAACAACAACAAACCAACAAACCACAAAACAAAACAAAACCAGACTGCAGACCCAATGAATACCCCACAGACTAGAAGGCAGGAGAAATATATCAAAGAACTAGACTGAAAAAGCTAAAAATGAAGGAAGAAAGAGTTGAAAACATAAAAATGTACAAGAATTTTAAAACTCATCACAAGCCAGTGGGGGCACAACTAACACAGTTCAAGAAACAACAAAAAAAGCATGAAAAGCAATCCGGAGTATTAAAATTGCTATCACAGAACTTCACAACACGTTGGAAGCACAAAAGAGCAGAACAGAAGAGATGGGACAGAATGAGAATCACTGAGCAAGAAAACAAAAATTTCAATGAGAATTTACAAGGAAAAAAGAAGGAAAATCAATAAAACACTAGAATCATGTGGGATGACATCTAATGAAACAGGATACATGTGACTGGGGAAAGCACTGAGAAAATTGTGGAAGAGGTACACTAGAAGAAAACGTCCCATGTATTATAAAAAATTCAAATATTCAAGAAGTTCGGCAAAAACCAAACAAACTAGATCCCTAAAGACAAATATTAAGGCACATCATAGTCAAAATTCTCCAAAATAAAAGATTATGGAAAATTAAAAGCAGCAGAAGAAAAACAAAGAATCTATTACAAAGGAGAACCAATTGGATTTAACTCTGACTTCTCAGCAGAAACTATTCAAGAAATAATACAATGGAATCACATTTACAGAAGGCTGAAAGAAAATAATCGCCAGCCCAGGATCCTGTATCCACCAGAGCTATGTATCATAGATGAAGGAGGAATTAGATCATTTGCAGAAAAGCAGGAACTGAAGGAATTCTGTGAGTTAGTTCAAACTAGGATATGGTTCTTCAAAAGGGTTAAAACAAGACCAATTCTAAAAGAAATACAATGGGAAGTTCCTTCAAACAGAAAGAGTAATGGAAATTAGATGGACCAACGTAACTACCAACAACAGAAAAAGGAACACAGCAAAATGTTAATAATATCTGGCCTATCAATAATCACACTCCATGTGAATGGCTTAAACTAACCAATTAAGAGACAAAGTATAGCAGAATTGATTAAAAAACCTAAGTCAATCAATGTTGCTTATAAGAGAAATTAAAGAAATATAAAGAGTAAAATTAAAAGCACAGAAAAAAAATATACCAAGCAAATGGCATCCAAAATGATGCTAGAGTGGCAATAATAATCTAATACAGTAGACATGAGAATGAAAACCACCCTAAGAAGTAAGGAAAGGCACTATATAATAATTAAAGACAGATTAAGAGGACATAATCTTAGTTAACATCTAGGTAGCTTATGATAGACCTGCCAGATGCATAAAACAGCAATTAATAGACTTGGAGAAAGACACAATACCACAATAGTAATAGTTCACCATCACTCTTCAACACCAAAAGACAGGCCAATTCAAAAGAAACTCAACAAAGATGTAGACAAAAACTAAACTACACAATCTGCCAACTCGACCTCATAGATGTATTCAAGTACTTTACCCAGTAAAAAATCCATTTATTTTCTTCTCACATGCACATGGTACATTCTTCAGAATTGAGCACATGCTAGGACACAAAGCAAGCCCCAACAAATTAAAAAACATCGGAATAATATACAGGATCCTCTTGAACCACAATGCATTAAGTTAGAAATAAACATAAGGACAATCTGGTGGATTCAAATTATCATGTACTTCTGGAATAGTAGTGCAGCTTCTTGCCACTAGGCCACCAGAGCTCCCTTGATAAAACTTTTCTAAAGTGAAAGACATCTCAAGGAAATATCTTAATTTCTACTACATATTCCTTTAATACAAGGAGGTACATTATCAAGATTTAAAGATAGGAAACAACAAAAATAATACTATATAAAATCAATTGGTGCTTTTATTCTACAGCAAATTTCCTTTTACCTTACAAAGATAATAAAATTATTTAAGATATATGTAATATGATGTTTGTTGTTATATGCCATAGAGTCAGGCTCACGGCTGATCCTCCAGGCAAGTCTTCAGAGGTTATACATCATTTGGAAGGAGGCAGTCCATTATTCTCCTATACAGGAGCTTTTCAAACCACCTGCCTTTAGGATGGCAGAGCAACTCCTTACCCACTAGGCCACCAGAGCTTAGATTAAGCAAATTAAGAAAATGCCATTTCTTAATAACCATAGTGCACATCACTCAAAATTATCAAGACTTTCATCAGCAGAAACTTCACCAGCCACTATTCTGGTAATTCATAAAGATTATTCCACAGATTATAACTTAATAAAAGACCATTTCATGTTCAACTACTTAATTTACCATTTACTACTGACTTTAATGAGAAGCAATGCAATGGTCACGCCTGTAGGATGTGATGCATTATGTTTAGTTGGCCAGTTAACACAGGTCATAACACTAATACATATTAGTGAAAGAAGAAAAAAATAAGTTACACAACATTCTAAATTTCATAGAAAATATTCTTTTTAAAAATGGCATCTCAAATTATGCTTTAACTATACTAAGTTTCCTTTCACATTCATAGAATTCTACAACTAGATGAAACATAAATCCACGATGTTCAATTCTCACTTTAAGTTCAGGAAATGAATAATTACACAGTGGCAGATGCTAACGTGACAAGGCTGTCTAGGACGTCTCTTGAGTAAGAATTTCTAATCACTATAAAGAAGTTTTTTAAAATATTTACACAACTATGAATGGATACTGTTCTTCCAAAGACACAAGCATAACTACAATAAATGAACCACAATCAAGCTGACAGAAGCAGCAAGGCAAGTACATGATGATTTCAATATAGAGTATAAGGACCAGAAAAAAAGTATGCGATGCCATAAAGTTCAAAAGCAATGGAAGTGGTAGGTGGTCAGGGATTTATGAAGATACTGACATTTACTAAGAGATGTAAGAAAGAGGAAGGAGTATGTAAAGCATGAGATGGAAAAGACACTATAAGAAGAAAACTGGGTATAGGAATGTGGGAGACTAGATGATGGATCTCACTTGTGTTTAAGCCTAAGTGTAAGGAAGTGATAAAAGGTAAATAAGATAAAGCTGTGAAAGTAAGTTTGAATCACTCTATAGAAGGACCAGAAGAGTCAACAAGAGTAATTGGATAAGCCACTGGTTTTCAACGGGGGTGGGCAGGTAGTGATGGTGGTATAATGTCTTCATATTAAGGCATTCAAAAATGTACAGTACTATTTCTAAATTTAACCTTTTTTTAACACAAGTTACATTCAATTTAGAAGTGTAATCTACATTTGATTTCCCCAATCTAGTAATCTTTCCATAAAAAAGCCTTCCAGGGGAGCTCTGGTGGCCTAGTGGTAAGGAGCTGCAACTACAATCCCAGAGGTGCA